TTATTAATTGGCTCTTACTATTCTGGTTGGCCTCATTCCTGCTCCTCTCAGCTATTATGCTGTCGGTTCGGCGTGCTGTGCTGGAGAGAATTGAGACGTTTGCAGGCTTCATAAAGAGGTGTTTGTTGTCACTCGTCCCCTGTCCAAGCTTACCTGAACTTTGGGCCTCTCTTTACAGTTTGCTGGTGTCCTTCCTCCTTACACCTTGCATTCCTCTCTGGACCGTCGCTCCGATGCTGCAGCCATCGATCTCTCTTGTGAGCTGGTGGAAAGGGATCCGATCTGTGTTCCCCGGTATGGATTGGAGCTAGAGCTTGCATAGCCATACATCTAACTTTCATAAATAGAAAAAAGAACTCTTGTCAATAGGTGGTGGTTTTTTTTTTTTTTTAAGAAGACAGGTCCTTGTGGGGCCGGCTTCATGTCCATTCAGGTGCGCATCAGTGCAGTTCCTTTTCCCTGGGAAGTCATGAAAGATTCAAATGCATGGATGTCTCACGCTTGATGCTTGCCCACATTGTGGCCATTGGATCCCGGACAACATTGCTTACTTTTACGGGGGTGATAAGAGCAGCCTCCGTGGCACCAACCATTGTAGGCTTCTTAATAGTTCTTAACTTCTTATGCTTTTTGTGGTCTGACTCCCCCGTAATAAGATAATGAATAGTATAATGATGATGAAAAGGCCTGAAAGGCCACGTCCTCTCCAGATTCCAGAGGTAATTGAATTGGTTGGGAATAGCCTTGAAAAAAAGAAAAGAAAAAAAAAAGAATGTTTTTTAAAGTTTTTGCGCTATTCCTGGACGGAAGTTCATATACCAACCCCATTTTGCTGGTTGAATTTGTTTATTTAAAATTATCCATCAATTCACCTAATAATAATTTTGTAATAAATTTGTTTTTCGAAAGTAGACGGAGTGTTAGGGTTAGGGTGCAAGCAAACTCTGTCTGGGGAGAGTTTGCCAGTCCTCTTTGGGTCTGACATCGGTAGCCTGTTAGCTTTCCGGAGATGCTACACGGGTCAACCGTGGAGGTGGGAATGCGGATAGTTGGGTATGATGAAGGGAGAAGTTTAGCGGATAGCCCCCCGATGATGACTGCGTGGCGGCAGTCGAAACCGGTTGGGGTAGCCATACCCACCAGCTTTTCAATCTTTGCTGTAATTTTGCTGTACTCTAATGTACTGTGATGACTTGGCTTTGTCTTCGTCTTTGACTGCTTACCAGTGTTTGCTGCTACTCTAGTCATCGATGTTGTCTGCTGAAGTTCTCTCACCTGTCAGTCAGGCAACCTTGGTAGGACAGACTCCTGCAGGACCTTATCTACGCTGTAAGAGTCTGTGTTAGTCTGTTTTTTTTTTTTTTTTTTTCCTTTTTTTTTTTTCCTTTTTTTTTTCCCCCTTTTTCCCGTTCGTAGTAACTTCGTACCAATGACAATCAGGGCGTTTGATTTGTATTCGTTTATTGACTTGCTTGTGGAATAGGAACCGGACTGACACTCCGCAGACTAGAAGGACCTTGTTCATAGTAAATGAAACCAGTACAACACGTCAACATGCCAAAGCACATACGGCAAGTCAAATTCAAGCATTCGCAGAATATTCAATGGAAGCGCAAATACAGGTATGGTGTCCCCAACGCCGCGTTTCGACACCCGGCATGGTGTCCTCTTCAGGGGTTCCTCCGGCCTTCACCCCCAAACTAAACTCCTCCGTCCCTGAGCCCACTCACATTCCTACCTCGCCCCACCATCCGGCTGGTGCTACGTAGGACACGTTCGACCTGTAAGAGAAGTGACTCTTCGTACGCTCACTATTTAACCCCAGGAAACCAAGTCGAACTTCCTATACTACTCAAAGCAAAGTCCAGTCCAAGTTCCCGTCCTTCAAACAGTATGCCCAAACGTCAACGCTGGGGGCCTGTCGGTACTAGTGCCGGGCCTTCCGACAGGTATTACTGCCTCGGGATCAAAACTGGTAACCAAACAGATATGAAAAAAAGAAAAAAACACACAAGTTGCAGGTTCAAATCTTATCCTACGTCGTAACCTGTGTGCTTTGTCCCTGTCCCAGTATCCCTGTATCGGACAGGTTACAAACGGAAGCAGGACTGAAATCAAATAACAGCGAAAATTGAAAAAAGAAATCAAACACACAATTCAACCATTGTTACAAGCTAAAGTGCGGCTCTGATGTACACCTACGTACAGCGGTGTGACAACAAGCTCACCGTCCTTTCCCATACTGCGTCACGCCGTCTAGCAAATCCCTTTAATACTTGAAGGAAGAAACGACAAGGGAAACTTTTCAATCTCAGTTCCTTCTTCAGACTCAACACCCTCATAGGTATCTCAGATCGGATTGAAGTGTTCCGATCAATTTGATGCAGATAGCTTCTTACTATCGCACTCTTCTGCCTTTTGCAGCCCCAAGATTTATATGACTGCCCGGTCTGTATCTCAAGTCGTTCTTCGCTCCATATACTTGCTTCATTCCTCGTCATCTGAACACTTCCCACGTATGGGTACATACATTCCGTGCATATCTGGCAGCCTAAGAACTCAAAGGTGCCTGTGCCGTCCTTGGTCCTCTTCAGGCACAGGTTATCTGGGTAACAGGTCTCGAAGCTAGGCTGGACTTCATTCACTTCATGCGTCTGTAGGCCACATATGATCAGCGCCACGTCATCAACCAACCAAATACAGAATACATTACTCCTCCAAGAACCTAGGGACTTCAGGAAGTTGTATTCTGCATAAGCACACATGATACAAGCCAGGGGAGGGCTTGTGCTCTTCCCCATCGGGATGCCAACTTCTTGTTTCAGCAGAATCCCCGTGGCGTACGTGTACGTATGCCGGAGCTCAATACACACAAATTTCTCCAAATCAGAAATTTGAATGTGTCTCCAATGGTCACCCTCTGTTGTTTCACCGAATGTGCAACCCTTCCCCCGTGTGTTCATCCTGATGAAGTCTCTGCCTTTGCTCATGTGATACTCAGAAATCCAATGGACAGCACGTATAATGTCAGTATGTGGCAACTTACTAAACATTTCTTTGACATCATACGACATAACCGTCACTCCATCACTACGGCGCATCGCACGGATCTTCCGATTTACCCTCATCAGACGATCAGTCAGGGAGGACACGGCCTGCAAATTAAAATGGCGGTCGCAGGGTAACGTGAACAGCATATGATTCAGTCCCTTAGCTACCAACCTCTCTGTCTTCACGGTTGGTTCATTGAACGTCGGGCAGATGGGTCTGTATCTGCTGACATCCTTCTGTTTCGGTAAGACATATGCTGTCCCCAGCCTGCCCTTTGTCTCCCATCTAACCATCTGTTTCAGCCCAGAGTCTTGCAGCTCCTCCTTCAACGTTAACAACAATTTATCCTCCGGTATATTCATCACGGTGTACCCAGTGTTGATTACAAACGTGGACATCATCGCTCCGAAGTAAACCTTAGGACACATTACCAAGGTTTCCCCTGGGTTACAGTCCAGAGGTGTGCATACCAGACCATCCAATCATCTCTTGATATCCAGAATCTCCTTCGTTGTCAGGCACATCTCCTTATGTCCCCTGTGCACAAAACATTGCTCAAGCACATATGCTAACCTGCATGCTTCTGAAGTTCAAACATTGCTTAAAACTAGCCTCCACTTCTACCTGAAGCGAGTCGATCCGATTGCTGACTCCCTGCATCGGGATATTCTTGGCATTTTTTAGCAATGGCGGCTCATCACACAGAGTGCTAAGGCGAATGCACATGTGTAAGGGGAAACCTGCGCAATTGCAGGTAAGCACATCCCGAGCGGCAAACTGCCATTGGTTGTGCAAGATGTCCCCCACGGACTGATTCTTAGTCCATACAAGGCGGACTTTCTTACGTGCACGTGCTTCAAAGCACGCAGGCAAATCACAGTCCATTACCAGGTCATTAACGACTTCTCTCAGCTCTGCTAGGCGGATCCTGTCGTCTAACTTTACACGTATAGTCAGAACAGCACTCAGACTCGAATTGAACCTCTCTCTAAAGACTCTCTGCAACAAACGACGTAGGTACTTACGAGTAGATTTTTGGCTAAAATCCTTAATCACAGCATACAACCGTAGCATAGACCTCATGCTCCACCCATACACATCCTTCAACTTTCTTTGATTCTTCAAAATCCCAACTAGGACAAGTTTAAGGGCTTGACACCTAGGTTTCCACGCTCGGAGGTGAGTGACTTCAAAGGCACCCCCCTTCTCTATCCGATTTTTTACATGTTTTAGCAGCAGATCCTGCCCATCAATCTTGATCGAGCTCTCCCCGAAAGCATTCCTCACCTTCTTCCATGTGGTATGCCATGTATTCCCACCGAGAACACTGAGGTCAAAACGCGAGCAACCCTTTTTCAAACACTTAGTTAAAAATTCCCAAAGGTTGACGAATACCCCGTTAAAAATTCCCAAAGGTTGACGAATACCCCATCCTGTTCCTTGCTGCTAAATCTGATTGGGCGTACCTCATGGTGTGGTTTTGTCACCTGCGGGTTCGACTTCCGTCTCTCTCTTGCCCCTTTTCTCGATCTCCCCTTGTTCACACCCTTCCTCTTCGATTCGATCGTGTTTAGCACAGGTGACCATTGTTTAATGTACACGCGTTCCAAATCAGTCAGCTCCTTCCCATCGAAGGTATCGATAGGAATCACGGTGTAGTTATGGGCGTCGTAGCAGCCAAGCCATCGATAAAAGTGTGTGGGTGTTCTGTGTCTATGTGCATACAAGTGCTCCTTCCAACGAACGTCGACGTTCCGACACGTCTTCCCGATGTACTGCGGCCTACAGAATGGAGATACAGCAATATACATAACATTCTTCAAAGATAGAAAGTCTAAGCCGTATCTCTCATAAAGAGTCGACCACGCTACTACGCATTTCCTGTTCCAGCGGATGCAGCTTGCAATCGACAACCTCACAGCTAGAAGTCACAAAAGTTCTTCTAGCTTACGATCGTAACTCTCCAACTTACCTCTCACTTCAACCAGAATTTCGCATAGCCTCCAATACTCGAGAATACCAAAGCCGCATCACTCTGCGATATCTTCAGCTCCCCCGGTGTCCTCGGTGGTACTTTCTTCTTCATTGTCACGCTTCTCACCCCCAAGCCCTTCGCCTTCATCCTCTGTGCCGTATGCGTCGCAAGTACGATGCTCCACCAAGTCGAAGATGGCATCGATTTTGCCGTTATATGGCACGCCTTCATCGTTGCACAAGTTTTGGAGTGTGATAGTGTCATAATTCTTCAGCTGACGCATGACCTCATCTCTGAACATATACCGACCTACTAAGCCGATACGTGCCGGGATCTTCCGTTTTACTGCTGATGCAAAACGCTCCTTAACAGTAGGTGATACCTTTACCTTCGGCTTAGTCTTTGACCGAGTCAGTCTCGGTGTCAGCTTTACCGGCTTGAGGATACCTCGTTTAGGGGTCTGCTTCGGAGTACGCTTGGCCAGTCCCTCCATCAGTGGACTATCTTTGAACACCGGCTCAGGTCCCCTTTTCCTTTTTAGTTAATCGCGAGACTCTCCGTCCGTTCACATATCTCTTTGGTGTCGCTGTTGACGAATTCATAATTGGAGAACTCGCCTTCATCCGATACGTATGTAACTCTTCGCTTCCCTTTCATCTTCTCCTTCAGCTTCGCCGCAATCATTGCTTTGCGGAACTCGGAGCAAGCTTCGTTCATGGCTTCTTTCACAGTTACCTTCAGGTGCACATCCATGTCTTTCCTCATAGCCGCCAGTCTTTCTTCTTCCAACTTAGCTTTCTCGGCCTTCTTCCTAGCTTTCTTCTCTCTCGCTTCCTTCTCTTCCTTTGCTCGTTTCTCAGCCTCCTTCTCCGCTTTCTTCTGGATCTTGGCTTCTTTCTTCGCGCGGTCAGCTTCGATGTATTCTTTCATTGCAGCGATACTTTGTCCGATCTCTTTGACCTGAGACTGTACTTCCTTGTCTTCGGAGCTCATACCTCGGTGATACCTTCGAGGTGAATACGACCTTCCTCTCCTCGAGTCTAACGAGCTCGAGGGTCTTGACTGGTGGGAACCTCGCCATCCTGGTCTCGGATTCCCACACTGATTGGAATAGTGTCCATCTTCGCCGCACGCAAAACGTGTCATGGGGGGTCTCCACTGTGCTCGGTCTTGACTACTCCGTTGACCCCCTCGTTCACGCTGATCACTCGCCATAACACCCGCGTATCCACTCGCCGCCTCTGTTGGTACTTTCCCGCCAACTCCGGGTAGGGTCCCCCGCACACCCGCTGTCTCGTAGACCACTCGTCTACACACAACCCTCACGGTCAGTATCGTACTCGTAACCCAATCGTCGAAGATGATTACGTGTTCACCCCCGCCGGGTAATTGACTTTAGAAGTGTTCACACACGCATTAGCTAGTTCATATTAAATGAAACCAGTACAACATGTCAACATGCCAAAGCACATACGACAAGTCAAATTCAAGCGTCCGCATAATATTCAATGGAAGCGCAAATACACTGACGCCGCATTTCGACACCCACTACTGTGTCATCTTCAGGGGGTTCCTCCGGCCTTCATCCCCAAACTAAACTCCTCCGACCCCAAGCCCACTCCCGTTCCTACCTCGTGCCACCATCCGGATGCTGGCGCTACGTAGGACACGTTCGACCTGTAAGAGAAGTAACTCTTCGTACGCTAAGTCGAACTTCCTATACTACTCAAAGCAAAGTCCAGGTCAAGTTCCCGTCCTTCAAACAGTATGCCCAAATGTCAACGTTGGGGGCCTGTCGGTACTAATGCCGGGCCTTCCGACAGGTATTACTGCCTCGGGATCAAAACTGGTAACCAAACAGATATCAAAAAAAGAAAAAAACACACAAGTCGCAGGTTCAAATCCTATCCTACGTCATACATCTGTACCGGTAAACAACAGTCCACTGCCCGTGTCCTAGAAGGACCTTGGCGTTTTGTTTTGTTTTTTTTTTCAGGACATTTGACATGCATGAAAAGAATGCCTGTGCAACTTTGAGGCAAATAGTAAATACTGAATTTACATCTTTGTGTGAGGATTGAGCCCTCAAAGGGGCCTTGCCGTGATATACATGTTCTGGGCTAAGGCCCCCAGCAAGCCTCGTGCCCGCCCTAAGTGAAGGCGGGCCAGCTAATCAATGAGAGCCTTTTGTTCAAACATTTCACGAAGTGGGGTCCATACAGTTGCCGCACGCCAGTTGGTTGGAGTGCACCGAGTATCGGATCTCTGCAAATGCAGAAATCCCAGGGCCCCAGAATTGGTTAGGCCCTGGGCACATAAACGTGAGGCCGACAATGCATGCTGGATATAGAGGCCGAAAATGCCAATGGGAAAGCGGTCCACTATCTGAATCTGGCTGCAGGCCTTGATGAAAGAGGCGCAACTGCATCTCCTGGGCCCCAACCGCATTGGGCCTGGGTACAGGTACTGGGGCCCAGGCGCAGGCTCAAGGGAGGCCGCCCACACGCAACACTGGCATATAGGCAGGGAGGGCGAGTGGGCAGGGATCTTGGCCATTGCGAGCAAGGCCGGCACGCTGCTGCATTGCAAGTGTGCTGCGCTGCGCCAGGCTGAGTGAGGGCAGGCTAGTGCTAAGCGGTAGAGCGCTGCCTGGGCGCAGGGCGCTTAGCCGGGCTGCCTGTGGGCGCAGAGGGGGTGAAGGGCGAAGGTGGTTCTTCGGAGGTGAAGGGCACAGTGTGGGATAACAAGGGAGAGTGAGGGTGAAGAGAGAGACGTACCTGGTGGAGAGGAGGTCGGCATTGGTGTTGACATCATCACTCGCTGGTCGTCAAGTTGTCTGGTTGCTTTCATGCTGTAGTTGTAGTGATAGGCTGTAGAGTAGGTAGGGCGCCTGGCGCCATTCAAGAGAGAGAGCTACATTGGGTTATGCTGTTGGTGTTGCCCGATTGGGCTTGGACATTGACTCACGATTCTTCTGTATCGTTCTCAAATGGATGGTTACTCGGTTACATTGTGCTATCTGCTCTTGCTTGGACTACTTGGACTTCAGTGTGATTTTGCAATCTGGATTTCTGTGCTTCGTTCATATTCATGTTCCTTGCATTTGTTTTGTTTGTTTGTTTTCTAATAGACATCTTCCTTTGCAACTAGCATAGGATTTTGTTTTTATGGTAGATTTCATGGTAGACGCTATCAAGCCCTCTAAATCTCTGGATAAGTGGTCTGGTGAAGTGTGGTCTTTATATGTATGTGATTGAAAGGCTTAAACCGCTAGTACACTGCCCCAGCCTTGCTTGGAGTCCAAAACTTCTTCTTTTTTTTTTTTTTTGGGACAAAGCTCCAATCTATTCGTGGGGAGCAACACGTGCTGGGAACCGGGCCCAGCTTCCCATATAAAATGATACAAGAAATTTGGAGTACCAGGGCCATTACCTGGCATCGGCTAAGAACAGTCTGAGAGTACCAGGGCCATTACCTGGCTTCGGCTAAGACAATCTAAAAGTTCCAGCTAAGAACAATCTGAGAACCACGAAAAGAGTGCAGAAGAACTTTAAGACAGTCTGAGAATTTCAGCTAAGAGCAATCTAAGAACTCAAGCCACAGTTACTAAGTCATTTTGTCTTTTTGGAAATATATGGAGTCGCCACAAGAACACGAGGAGGCCGAAACGTCAAACGCTGGGCCTGCTGTTGATATATTGGATCGGCGGTCGCTTTTTCGTTTCGCGCCTCCGGAATTCAAGGCCTCGTTCCACACCACTTCACTTCACTTGAAACTCGAGTGCGCACTGGAGTTGCAAAAGTGATCAAAAAATACTTGAGTCAAGTTTCGTTCCACTCAACCCTCGAGTCCGCCCTTGAAATGAGCAGGAACAGCTCGCGCGGTTCAACCAGGACAATGGCGTTAGAAAAAGGAGAATAACGGGGAAAAAAAAAACATCGGGGGGTTCTACACACCTGAAACCGCCTCGCACCGCTCGCTTGCACACTTCTCAAGGGCAGCTCAAGTGTGGCCCGAGAGCTCACTTGAAAAATCACCTCATTTGCCTGGGCCGCACTTGAGCCGCCCTTGGGAGTTTCCCGCCCATTTGATAATCCCGAAAACCTAATGACGACCCACCAGTGATTAGCGGAACTCCAGGGCACCGTGGAACGGTGTTGGACAAGAAACCCTTGAGTTTTGAGTGGTGTGGAATGAGCCCCTCAAGGTGTCAGGCCCGCGGCCCAGCTAGCCATGTACTGGTGGTGCTTTGAAGAAGCCATGGCTGGCGGGGCCAGTACACGGCCGCAGCCTTGCGGAAAATATTGGAGTTGTGAACTCCGAAACTGCCACCGCTTGGGGGTAAGGGACCAAGCCATGGCTGGCGGGGCCAGCCACAAAAGAAGCTTGGCGGCTGGCGGTTTGAAGAAGCTTGGCGCGCAGTGCAGTGCCTCCAGACCCGCTGTACTGGTGGTTGAAAGCTGCAGGCTTTAAGGAGATGGAGTATAAGACTGCCGAGAGGTGTTGCTTGCCTGTTCACACATCCAACCTCCTCCCCGGCATGTACAAGAACCATTTCTTTGGGAAACCATCAACATTACCCGGGCAAGGCGTGCCGATAAACGCTCGGGCCTTTGAGGGATGTACAGGCCTGTGTGCGCCCCGGTTAAAAAAAATAGATGCATATAGAGGCCCACACAGGATGGAGGCAACCAGCAAGGAGATGACGCTGGCATTGGCTTATCGTGCCTCGTTTTTTGCAACTGCACTCACTGGAGATTTTCTGAAAGTACTACTGTGGAGCTCTGTGTTTTTTGAAATCCACACTTCCTCGAGGGCCGAAATAGGGGCTCAGACCATGAGACCATTTGTGGTTGTCTCGGCTTTCTCGACTGCTGGTGCCCCTTTTGCCTCCAAGACCAGGTCATCACTCAAAGACACGGTGCCCCCTCTGTACACCACCGGCTTGGAATTGGCCAGTGTCAATTTAATGCTCAGAAGAGGCCGTGAACGGTTCAGGGCCTACTCACACGAACTTTCCTAGATGTATCTGATCGCATTTACAGCCAGGCGTGGATGAATCTGACTGCGATCACGTCCAGGGCTTAGTAGAAAGAGTTCCTAGTGTGAAAATGCCCTCAGCGCCATGATGGATGCACCACAATCACCTCCAGACCTTAGTCGAAAAAGTCCTACGGTCTTCGCCCGAATAGAATGGAAGGTCATTATAGCTGCATTTGGCCCACCTTTCAGTACAGATGCAGCGATAATGACGGGGCGTTCACCGCAATCACCTCCAGACCTTAGTCGAAAAAGTCCTACCGTCTTCGCCCGAATAGAACCCCCGGTCATTATAGCTACATTTGGCCCACCTTTCAGTCCAGATGCACCGATAATGACCAGGTGTTCTATTCGGGTGAAGACGGTGGTGTGAGTATGCCCTCAGCGCGATGACGGATGCATGGATCTGACTGCAATCACGTCCAGGGCCTAGTAGAAAATGTCCTACTGTGAGTATGCCCTCAGAACCAGGATGGATGGAAGGTGTGGAACACAGATTCTGGCACTATTGATCCATTATAGTATCATTCCAGAGTCCGAATCTGGCCAGTTGTTTGCTAGCGAAGGATGGAGATGCACATAATAAGTTTCCCAGTGAGGATCTTATTTCTGTTCAACAAAATTGGAAGTCAACCATCAAAGTTGATCAAACAAAATGTAAGATGTAAGTGAATTTAAAAAACAAACCATCTCATTTAGAAGTTAATTGCCTAACATTGGACCTCACTCCACTACTCAATAAAGGTCCAAATGGGTGTGAAATTATGAATCTTCCACTAGAACATGGAAAGGTACACTGCCATACTCTGTCTTTTGTGCATCTTTGCATGTGGTGAGCAGTGGAGCGAGGCCCGTCGATGACTGTTTTGTTATATGAACCTCAACAAATCCGGAGGATGGGGATGTACAATAAGCTGGATGCAGAGAGCACTCGTGCTGCCTTCCAATGCAACAGACAATGGGGAAAGATGTCAACGACGGAAGCGGCAGAGAACAGCGCTAACAGTTTCCTGTTTCCTGTGTCTTTCTGTTTTCGCACATCCCTTTGCTTTTGTAGGGAACAGGGTTGTCAAGAAAACAGATAGAGGTTTGCGACTTCTTTGTGTATATTCCACAGTATGGTGCAGGAACTGCTTCGCTTAATGTCACAGTGGCGGCATCAATAGTTCTTCAGCATTTTGCAGGTGTGGCTCTCATCCCCGAAGACTTGCTTGTGAATGCAATGACGTTTTTTTTGGGGGGGGAAATAGGGCGCAGTCACCATATCAGTTTAAAATCCACTTCAAGCATCCTTCGAATACAACACATCCCCACCCGACCCTAAAGCTAGGTTGTATACATTCACGATTTTCCTCGCTTTAGCACAACATCCGCGAAATCGTGATCTTAGCGCATTTTCAAACTGAAACTGTGACTGCGCCCTAGTTTTCCCCTGTGTAGCATCGTGTTCGTGTTCGGCATGGCTACGATCCAGACGTCCGGACCGCCGTCCAGACGGTCTGGATTTATTCCGGACTCCAGACGTCCGGTCTGGAAGGTCCGGATCTCCCAAATTTCAAGGGGGGGGAAAAAGAAAACGGTCTAGGACCCTTCCCCATTGAGGAGCCAAGCCCCCAAAATTGTTTTGGGGGTTTTTCAGGCCCGTTTATGCTTTTTTGGGGGGGTCCGGACATGCTCTCTCTCTATAATAATTTATTAGACAAGCCCAATTTTTTAATTATTAATAATTCATTACCTTGTATTAGTTTTTTAAGTCTTTTTTTAAGCTTTTTATAGTTTTTGACTTTTAACTCAAGGTTGGTTAGGAATTCTGACATGACTCTGAGGCGAAAGTGGTTTGCATTGTTATTCTGCATAACATACTTTTTTTTCAGTTTTTTTTTTTTTTTTTTGGAGGTCTCTGTTTCTTTTTTTTTTTCTTTTGCCTTTCTCCTGTTTTCTCAGCCCAGAAAATTCGTAATGAACCTGTCAGCCCGCTGCCACTCAGTGTCACACTGGATCGGCCACACTCCTATCCGACTACTAATGGGACCTTGCCCCAGGGTAGAATTGTGAGGACCCCTTCCTCGATCACTTTAATAAAAGTTACAAGCTTCTCCCCACCAAAACAAAACAAACCAAAAAAAAAAAAGAAAAAAAAAAAGAAACTGAAAGACCCACAAGATTGTGGTGTGGGAACAGTCGAAGTCGAAGAATGTTTGCTGTCGCTGGAACACGAACTGAGGCGGCAAAACTTCATTTTTTCTTTTTTTGGAAAATAGCCCTTGCGTAAGTCCTCTATCCTGGCGGTGGTAAGAGAACCGCCAGAATTGAGGGCTTATCTGTCGGGCTGCTCCATCTGTTGGTGGGTAGCAGCACCTGCTGGAAAGTGGGTCCAGCGTCCCATTGATACATCTGGTAACAGAGTTTGCTGTTTGTTGTTTCCCGGGGTTATGATCGTTTCTGACTCATCCCGGGGCTCCGTTGTCCCATTAAGGTGCTAGTATTACCCATCCCTTTTTTGGGAGCACCGTGTCTTATTAGCCCAGGTCTGTTCAGCAGCCCCCTTGTTTGCTATTGCTATGACTGACCCTTCAAACCCTTCAAACCCTTCAAACCCTATACCCTCTCTAGAGCCATACATTACGTGCATCACACATGCAATATAGACCCGTTCCCTGGCCGGGGCTCATTCTTATCATCTACACTCCTATCGTCCTGCCCTGCCCACTCCCGGAAGTTACCTGTTACTCTTTCTCGCCCTGAAGTCTCTCATTCGCCTGCTAGACCCAGTCTACTTCCAGGTGTCTGCAGTCCACTTGTTTGTCATTGCTATGACTGTCCCTACAAACCCTTTAAACCCTATACCCTCCGTAAAACCCTTGCAACACATATTCACACATTCGTGAAGCCTGAGGATCTGCTGTGAAATGGAATGTGATGCAAAGTGATGCAGTGCAATATGGTCTCATTTCCTGGCCGGGGCTCTCTCCTGACATGTTGCCCTGTCTGCACCCAGTAGGTGTCTGTTGTTCTCCATTTTTTTCCCCTGAGGTCTCTCATTCGCCTGGTAGATGCAGGCCACTTCCAATTGTCCACAGTCCCCCATATCCGAAGCGGCCTCCTCAAAGTGAAGTCTGCCTGCAGGAGCTGATCTTTTGACCTTGTTGAACTCTCCACCCTTGCTTTGCGGGTGCCCCTTTCTTTCCGTGTTGTGTTTATGGTGCCAGCTGGACCGTATCTCACCTAGCCCCTGTACTGGGAGGCAGTCATGCATTTATGTCAATGATCGGCTACAAAGTTGGTAGTGTGCATTTGTTGTCCCGGGCTGGTCGGCCGCCTCTCATACAGGTTAGGGAGTGGGAGAGGGGGAGGACAGAATGGGGAGGTAGGGGGAGAGTGGGGTGGTGTTGGGGTATGAAGTGGGGGAGACATTGGGGGAGGGGGGG